TATGTATAAAAAAGTATATATTGATAACTTTAGTTTATTTTTTTAAGAATAAGCTAAATAATGTTTAAACATATCACTGAAAAAATCGAAAACAATGTAAGAAATTATCGTGTTTGAAAGAATATAAAAAAATATAAGTTTATATTAGAGATTTAGAATAAGAATAGCATATATTAATTTTTATGTTCAATAAAAAGAACATAAACTAAATCCAACAAGTAAATATAAAAAATTCTTGAATCATCATGCCCAGGATCTATTGCTAATTATTGATAATTATGAAAGAGAATGCTCACTTTCCAAAGAAATGAAGCTAAAATGGCTCAAGAGAGAAATTGTCATGATTTACAGTGATGAATTAGTTTAGGGTTACAGGAAAACACAAATCAGGACTTCCAAACGAGGAAAACACCATGATCAGATACAACCTAATAAACACCATCAAAGACAATGATCGGTATATCCTACAACAGATCTTATTTCACAGTAACAGTAGCTTATCCAGGGCGAAGTTCGACAAAAAAAGCTCACAAAAAGCACAGAAAAATTGAACAAAATTTTATCGTACTGGCATTTTATGATCTTCAGTGCCAGAAAAAATGAAGACTGCTGATCCAGTATTTTTCTTATGAGTTCTCTCACCTCGGGTCTACAACCAATTAAGATACAAAACCGCCAAAACTATGAGGAAACACTACCAATCAAAATAATGAAATGTTGTATCGGTTAATCATTTGGAATTCTATCGATCTCTACTTCCTAGCCTCCTCATATTCTGCCTCTGGTGTCTGCTCACCACCCTGAGATCCTGCAGAGGATGAACCAGAATCACTAGAGCCTTTAGACATGTGCTCACCAATCTTCGAAACAGCCTTGTTTGCAGCGTCAAGTTTGGCCTTGATGTCATTGATATTCTCGCCAGTAAGTGCTTTCCTCAGGTCTGCCACGGCAGACTCTATCTCTGTAGCAACCTCAGCTGGAACCTTGTCTCTGTACTCGTTCAAGCTCTTCTCGATGCTGTATATGGTTGTGTCAGCACTGTTTTTCAAGTCAATCAAAGCCTTCTTCTCCTGGTCTCTCTGAGCATGCAGTTCAGCCTCCTTGACCATCCTCTCGATTTCATCATCTGAAAGACCTCCAGATGAGCGGATTGTGATCTGCTGTTCCTTTCCTGTCGCCTTATCCTTAGCAGAAACAGTGACGATTCCATTGGCATCAATGTCAAAAGTCACTTCAATCTGTGGCATGCCTCGAGGTGCAGGTGGGATGCCAACTAGTTCAAATTCACCCAAAAGCTTGTTATCAGATGCCATTTCACGCTCACCCTGTAGTACTTTAATCCCCACCTGAGTCTGGTTGTCAGCCGCTGTTGAGAAAGCCTGGAACCAACACCATACTAGCTTAATACAACTACAATGTATAACCAAATAGAAAATTAAGTATGGATGAGATATACTACAGCTGCAATGGCAATGACCTAACACAGAGTCATTGAACAATGAATTGGAAAAAGAAATTAAGAATGCTAGAATTTTAGAAAAAGATAGTTAGCGCCATGATAATGAGATATAATGCTGAAGGCATATTAAGAAAACTGTCTAATGAATTTTTGCGCATTCCCTGCTTGCATTACCTGAGATTTCTTGGTAGGGATGGTTGTATTTCTGTTGATAAGCCTAGTGAAAATTCCACCAAGAGTTTCAATACCAAGTGATAAAGGGGTCACATCCAACAAGAGTAACTCCTTAACATCACCCCGAAGGATGCCACCTTGAATAGCAGCTCCCATAGCAACTGCTTCATCAGGATTGACACCTTTACTTGGGCTTTTACCAAAAATTTCAGCCACTATTTCTTGAACCTTGGGAACACGAGTCATCCCACCAACAAGCAAAACTTCATCCAATTCCTTGACTGTTATCCCTGCATCCTTCAAACAGTTCTTGCATGGGTTTCTTGTCCTCTCAATTAAGTGGTTCACCAATCCTTCGAACTTTGATCTGGTTAGAGTTATATTTAAATGTTTTGCTCCAGAAGCATCAGCAGTTATGAATGGCAAGTTGATTTCGGTCTGAGATGTGGATGAGAGCTCTATCTTAGCCTTTTCAGCTGCTTCTCTAAGTCTCTGTAGGGCAAGCCTGTCCTTTGTAAGATCAATATTCTCAGTCCTCTTAAACTCGCTAACCAGGAACTCTAACAGTGCATTGTCAAAATCTTCCCCTCCCAAAAAGGTGTCTCCATTAGTAGCTTTGACCTGATAAATACAATGTTAGTTGACTGCCTCATAAGTCATGAAAAGCACTTCAGTTGGACAGCAAAAGTGGCATACCTCAAATACACCATTTGAAATTTCTAAAATAGAAACATCAAAGGTTCCTCCTCCAAGATCAAAGACAGCAATGAGCCCTTCCTTATTGTTTAACCCATATGACAGTGCAGCAGCAGTGGGTTCATTGATGATCCTCTGAACATCTAGACCGGCGATCCTCCCAGCATCCTTCGTTGCTTGTCGCTGAGCATCATTGAAATACGCTGGAACAGTGATAACAGCTTTGTTGATTGTTTTCCCAAGATATGACTCAGCAGTTTCTTTCATTTTGGTGAGAACAAAAGCCCCTATTTGGCTTGGTGAATATGTCTGCCCATTTGCTTCTACCCATGCGTCCCCGCTAGGAGCTCTCACAATCTTATAAGGCACCATTTTCATTTCTTTTTGTGTCTGTGGGTCATCAAAACGTCTTCCAATCATACGTTTGGTCCCAAAAAGTGTGTTTGTGGGGTTGGTTACTGCCTGGCGCTTGGCAGGGGTTCCCACAAGCAGCTCTCCTTTCTGGTTGATAGCCACAACTGATGGCGTGGTTCGGGTCCCCTCAGCATTCTCAATTACTTTAGGACTCTATTAAACACAAAAAATTGCACTAAGAGAAATCTAGAAGAAAGCTTGTCACATAATTACTGATACAGAAAGGAAATGAGTCAAACGACAAACAGGAAATAGGACTTACCTTTCCCTCCATAACTGCCACACAAGAATTAGTGGTACCCAAGTCAATACCAATTACATCGTTTCCAACAGGCCTTGAACTGTAAAATTAAAAAATGTAAACAAATAGCATAGATTTAAGATGGATAGAGCTAAAAATAAAGTACGTAAAGGCAACCTGAAGGGCCTTGCTAAAGAAGACAATTTGCTAGCAAATGGAGAGGTTGCCAGTGAGGTCTTTGCATTTGAAGTCAGCTGCAGCAGAAAAAGGCCCAATAATTAAAAGAAAATTATCATTATGACAATAAAAAGAATTCCTCAGACCCGTATCATTTATAAGGAATCTCTGGTTCAACTTTAATGAAAAAAATCTATCTTCAGCAGTCATAAATGCTGTCACTATAATGAGTTCAAGAATCAGGGAAAAGCAATATTACATTATGAAATTTCAGATATGAAGAACACAGCCAATTGAACCAAAATCACAGCACAGAGCACAAGTTCTTCAAAAAAAATTGTGGCAGATTTTTTTTTTTTTGTAAATAACAGCTCAAAATAGGTGAGCTTTGCCACCCACTTCATCCGACAGTTTGAAACATAAAATTGCAAGAAGAAAACTAGTCCAAATTACCTAAATAACACAGAGTCCTCACAAGTTATTACTAGTTTATGAAACTTGTTGGACAGTTAGCATCTTTGTAGACTCTTTAATGACTCATACGAAGGAACACCCATGGTTATGTCCCTTCAATGTGAACCTATTGCCTTTTTGGGTTCCAACCTCATGAACATCTGCATCTTCAAGATCTCAAAGCTATCCTTGTGTTTCTCCATTATTGATAACTCCAAACGCCCCCCCGTTCCTTCCCCCCAGTCACCATCACAATATAAACATCAAAACTAACGAACTCATAGATCTGGCTTGTCTCCGGGTCAAGTTTAAATGTATCATTGGTTTTGATAAGAGGGTCTACGGCAGATTGTGCGCCCAAGGGTTTAGGTAAGAGGATACCCTTCCAGCTAAACTAGACGGAAGGAATCATGGTAGGATATCATTTCCTAGATTCACTTGTTTGTACATGTATTTATCAACGAAAACATGCATTATACTGTGTGATTGTGGAATAACCAAGTAGAAACCAACCGTTTTCAGAAAAAACTGAAAACAATTTTTTTTGTTCATTTCGAAATTTTCATACCCATTTCCACTTTCATTTCCTAACTATTGTTTTAGGTGCTAACTCCCTTATATATTTGTATTCTTATTCGCCAACATAAACAAATTTAGGAAAAAAAGTAGAAACTATGTTTATAATATACAGTATCAGGCAGGACAAACACACAGCATGAGCTAAAAACTAGAAATGTTTCCTCAAGTATCCACAGGGAACAACAGAAACTGAGAGAGAGAGAGAGAGAGAGAGAGAGAGAGAGAGAGAGAGAGAGAGAGAGAGCACCGATCTGTAACCGGACAAAGAAGCAGAGTGTAGCTCTCGGCGGCGCAAGGAGCGAAGAAGCACGGAGGCTGCCATGTCGACGGGAGGGTTTAAGGTTGGTCTTAGGGTTTAAGTTGAGACAGAAATGAGACAGAGAAATGAGATCAATCTATCGGCCAATGTTGTTTAGGGATTTACCGTTTATAAGAGAACTTGTCTGGTTTCACGATGACATTTTTACCCCTACAAGATTTTCACAAGGACAGGGATGTCGCTGTGGGTTTCGTTACCGAAGTCAAGGGTATAACGGGAAAACAAATAATTTCTTCTGGTCAGGCTTCGTGAGCAACAAGTTATGACGAATTGACAAATGAAATTCTGACCGAACATGTGTACAGGCGGACCCGAATTACATGTCCCTAATTCCGGCCCTAATTTCCGCCAAGGGTGTAAACTGAAAATAAATTTAGTATTATTTGAATTATTATTTTATTTTTAGGTCAATTATTGTTTTAAATATTCAGTTAAATCTTATTAAAATTCTTTTTATTTAATTTATATAAAATAATTAATTTTTTTTATTATTTTATAATTTTTTATACAACAAATTAAAAATCTAATTTAACATTTTTGTTTTTATTTTCAAAAAAATGCAGTTTATATGATCTACCCGTACGGTAGAATCCACCTAAAGGAGTTAAATATGCAAACAAAATTTTTAGTTCTACCACCTTAAGCCTTCAAATAATCTTCTAACATTTCGAGTTACTTTAAACGAACCATGTTGCCTCCGAAACACTATGTCTTTAAGTAATCTTCTAACATTTCAAAGACGGCTACACCATATCACGTAACTAATATATAAAATTACTGAATTACTATGTAATTTTAGAAAGTTATCACCGAAGAATCGTGCCTCCCAAAGATCACAAGCTTCCCCTCATCAAGTCTCTTGCTGGGAACTGAAACCCACTAGAACAGGTAGTAATCACAGGAGGGTGACGACAACTGGTAAGACCTCATAGCTCATCTGATTTGGCATCTCCTTCTGCTTGATGAGTAAGAAATGTGCTTTTCTCCAAGTATTCCTCTTCAATAGTCTCCTTGAGGATAAATAGTCTTTGGATGACTATAGGTTGACTCATCCGCTTGGCTTCTCTAATGTCAGTGTCTTCCTTGTTGAGATGGTATGCATCAAGCATGATCTTAATCCATTTATGCAGCTCTTTCGGTGTACTGCTCAAACAACATAAAAATTCCACCATGAAAAAGGGACAAAGACATCATTATTCTTCAAATTGCAAACAAAACACTAACTTATCAGCTTTATTGAACTTTACTATTTTGATTCATCAAGGCAAGGAGCTATTCCCTACGTGTGTAATGCATTGGGATCCTTTGGTTCATGTTCATCACCAGGGGAGAAAGCTGTTGCCAATGCAGAGAATCGCTCTTCAGGATCAGTGATGTTCAGCAAATACTTCAGTAACTTCATTTCTTTCGGTGCAATGCTCCTGAGACTGGTCTTTGTGGCTTTATATATACGGTACATTATGTCTTTGACCTGCAGTCAGATGCTGAAAACTGTGATAAAACTAAAACTAAGAACTCAAGCTGAAAAAATCACGGCCTCCAGCCAGAAAGATGCTGTTCACATAAACCAAACCAAGTATTAAGAAGCACTTTAAATGATCACTGGTGTTCTATTTCTATAACCATAGTTCGAAAGCACCAATGATCATAAAATGCATCCAGCATCATTAATATAATCCAATAATCTAAAAACATCTAGCTTTCTATTTTGTTAACTATCTGTTCTTCAAATACACAACCATCGCAAGTCCTAATCTCCACTCTTTTTTGTTCGAAAGTCTGTCTCCTGCTCGTATCCATACTTCGAGAACAAAAAAGATTGAAACTATCATAAATCCATTAACATCAAACTAATAAATTAAACAAAGGACTTTTTTTTTTACTGAGCAAGCAAGAAATAGGAGTCAATTAGACCTCGTTCTTCATGGTTTTGGATTCTTTTGCTGCAGCCCAAGCACTATTTATCAATAAGATCAAGGAAGAGTCCAGTTCCTTTGCCTTGGCAAGGCTTTTAATCTTTTCACAGGCAACCTCTATTGATGGAGAGTTTAGGATATCATCAAATTTGGCCTGGGCAGCATCCAAGGTGTCCACACTCTCCAGTGTCTTATCATAGGCACTTACCGCAGACAAGCATCTAGCGACCAGCCGGGCCACCGCTGATAAATGATGGAAATCATAAGTAAGCTTAAAAGTGTCAGGTAATAAGATGGTGAATCATAAACAAAGAAAAATTTTAAAAAGCAAATAATTTTTTCTCTCAGTAAATCTTCAAGATGCACCTGCAAGACTTATTTCAGAAAGAGTATCCAAGTCCTAATAACTTCGCTAGATCCATTCTGAAAATTAAAAAAAAAATATTGAGGAATGACTAGAAATCCAGGTTCTCATACTACAATTCATTTTACCATGTCAAGAAAGCTTGTCCCCCTCTTTTACTCAATAACAGAAATTCAAGGGACAAAATGGACATGAGGTTTTTTGAAGGTCAGAAGATATGAGAGGGGAGTAAGGCCATACGATATTTTTTTTCCATATAAATGTGATGATAAGCTACATTTCTTATTAGCACAAGTAAGACAAGACAACAAGAAGTATTTTCTTTTTTTAAATTAAGCATTTTCCTTGATCCAGCATACCACTTTGCATATAAACAAACAGTAAACACTTGAACAATTACCATCTTGGTCTTCCAAATTATCACAGGTTTCTGAAACTAGGTTTAAATAGCGGAAAAATTCTCCACTGAAATCTTTGCGCCTCCTTGCAACGACTGCATTTATGTCAGTAGGGCTATCTTGTATCTCCTTGAGAAGGTCATTGTGTTTTTCCATTTCCTCATCCATCTGCAATTCTTACTCCTGAGTACACAGAACCAGGAAAAAGCTCTAAACCAAAAGAGTATCTATATACCAATTATAAACTTCACATTCAGGCCTCTCCAAAGAACAAAATGAAGATTTTTCATCAATTTAATCACGATAAAACTCAACACACAATACCTACCCTAAGAATCCCTAA